ATCTGCGTATGATTTCTTAACTGCGGAACGCCCCTTTAAGATCCAATGTGTGGTACGAACTGCATTCAGAGTATCTTGAATGCCATTGTGATGCACTTGATTGTGTCTTTCTGATACTAATAGTTCTATAAAACGATGATTTGATTGATTTTTTGCGTTATAAGGAATGTTGGCATTGTTGATACGACCTCTGCTACGTATGACGTCATTTCCAAATATAATCCGAATTGTTTGATGTAGGTTGTCGTCTTGTTTCCATTATGTAGATTTTCAAACTCAGAGTTAAATGTTTTTCGTTGAATTGTCTTTATCCATTCAGTTTCAGCATTCTGATGCGCTGATAAGTTTATCTGTTGCAGCTGGATGGCGCAATAATGAGATGAACTTGATGACTAATGATGTAGCACGAAGAAGTTTCAGCTTGGAACTAAATCGATTAATGGTTAACTGTTGAAAGCGAAATAGTTATAGGTTTAGGGTTTTTCTTAAGCTCTTCTTCTGCTAAATCATTTTCAAACGTTGTTGGCAAATCCGGCCAATGTTCAGCTGATTGTTTCAAAAATGGAGGGCCTTCCCACCACTTTGGATTATGTAGTAATTCCTGAGCTTTACAAGATGGTATGTCGGCTGGGTTTTCAACGCCTGGACAAAATCTCTTATCCAACACAATGTTGTGAAAGAGTCAATCCATAAGACAGTAGGTAATTGCTGTATATCAGTTGTTGTACGATGTATGGATTGCTGAGTTGTGTGTACTAGACGGGCCAAGATATTAGCTCTTAAGTTCTAGTCTAGGTATGCATTGTTTTTTGAGTGGTGCTACCTTGGTCTTAGATGCGATTAAACGTATGTCTAAGTAGTGTATTATTGGTCGCACGGGGATTCCCCATTCCATTTCATTTCATGGGAAAAATGCGACCAATCTATAAGCTCCCAAAAAGACCTAAACTCCCTACATTTCATAAATTCTTACACCAAAAGACCTAAACTCCCTCCATTCCATCAATTCCCTCCCAAAAAAACCTAAACTCCCTACATTTCAGAAATTCTTACACTAAAAATACCTAAACTCCCTATAAATTCTTACACCTATACACCCTACATTTCTTATACTAAAAACACCTTCAATCAATTTCCTACATTCCATCAAAAAAGCATATTAAAAATACCCTTATATAAAAATAACATAACATTTTTAATAGCCTCGTTTTAAGTAATGTTATTATTAGTAGAAAGGAGATAACTCTTGTTTTGGAAAACAATGTTCTATTCTAATTTTAAACCTTAAAAATGGCAAATAAAATACTAGATCCAATCTTTAGATTATACGATCTGATTCGTTATTCGTTTAACAAGAAAAAAGAGGATTATATTATCATCTCACCGACTGTTGGTTCTAAATCCCAATTGAATGATGGTGGTAGAATTACCTTCGAAATAAATTCATTATCGAATTGGTTGCTTCTTTCCGATGCTTATTTCAGATGTGATTTCAAAATTAAAGAAGGAACTCAGAATCAAGTTCCACAAACTAATACAACGTTAGAAAACAATTTCTTTCTATCTTTATTTAGCGAGATGGTTTTGGAAGCTGGTTCAAATCCTATAGAAACAATCAAACACCCTGGGGAATTCGACACAATGCTGAAAACAGTTTTATATCCTAAAGATTTCGATTCAGTCTCAGGTTAGATACCCGATGTTGGCGATGGAAGTGTTTTAAAAGAACCGGTAAGAAATCTTGTAAATGATGCTGATTTAGCTAGATTTCGGGGAAGGGAGGGTTTGATTCTCCCAAATGTACAGGCCTAGGGTGGAGCAGACACTTTATTTAGAAATTAGGATTAAGGGTCTTGATATTGGGTTTTCTTCTGTTCTT